ACCAGTGGCTTGGACTCCAAGATGTCCGACTCCCTCATGAGAGACGTGAAGCAGATCACCGAGCAGGGCTGCACGGTCGTCGCCACAATCCACCAGCCTTCGGAAGCCGTCTTCACGCGCTTTGACAAGGTCTTGCTCTTGGAGACTGGACGTGCCACTTGGCTCGGGTCTCAACTCATTTCGTTACCGAGATTGGAGCACTCTGTTGAGTCTGTTTTGTCGGCTCATTTTCCAAGAACGAGTAGCGTGACGATCGGGAAAGGGGAAGCCCGCCAACAAGACAAGCCAGGTGGCGTACTACGGGGCCATCTCCGGCTTGCGAGGATCTCTTGGCGGCTTGGGCTTCACATGTCCTGAAGGCACCCCGCTTCCGGAGATCCTTCTGGATCTGCTTGAAGTGCCAGCGGAGGAGGCTTCGCGTGCGGCTCACACGGAGAAGTTGCAGAAGTTGAAGAAGCTCTCGGACACTCGGAATTCGGTTTGTCGCATCTCAGATAGGCACAGGTGCCCATCCGTTTGAATTTACGCTGAACCGGTCGAGCCGAGGACACCACTTCGCTGGATCGCGGCTCGCCCACGAAGTCAGAAGCGCCTCCCAAGAGGGCTGGAATCTGTGGGCAGGTGGCCGTACTCTTCAAGCGGGAGCAGCTTGGGGCACGGGATCTCTAGAAAGTAGAATCCCGCGTCGGGCGGCTAATCTCGAATGTTTTCAATACAGCTTCTTGAGATGTGAGTATGCAAGTACGACCTTGAATTGTTTCTGAGCGAGCATTCGATCCGTGAGGAGCTGGTCAACGTGAAGCGGAACAAAGCCCTGACAGTCGTTCGTGCTGTCCAATCGGTCGCTTCCGCACTTTTAATCGGCTTGATTTTCCTGCAGCTGGAGCGCAACATGTCAAGCCTCTCTCCACGCTTGTTCTCCAGCTTCCTGCTCGTCTTTGCCCAATTTCTGTTTGCTCTGCTGGGGGTCGTCAACGCCTTCCCCGCAGAGCGTGCTGTGTTCTTGCGCGAGACGCAGGACAAGCTCTACCACCCAGCGGCGTTCTACTTGGCTAAGATTTCCATCGACACCCTGATGCAATGCCTCTTCCCCATCCTCGTGGTGGCCATCAGCTACCCACTAATTGGCTTCAACGGGGAATCAGCTGATCGCGTTCTTTGGTTCTATGCCATCATGGCTGTGGTTTCCAATTGTGGAGCCGGTGTTGGGTTTATGGTCTCGGCCGCCGTGCCCAGTGTGAACCTGGCCCTCTCCATTGCACCCGGCTTGATAATGCCACAGCTCTTGCTGTCGGGCATCTTCATCAAGGTGCCAGGGAACCTGGGCCCTGCTGAAGGGAAGAATCCAGTTTCTTTTTGTCGTATTCCGGAAGTTCTGGCTAGCTCATCAGGTGGAGGATTTGCCGCAGCCCTTCAATGCCCTTAGCTATCTCATGGTCGCCCGGTATGCCGTCCAAGCTACCGCAACTCGGCGCAGCTTTGCAAAGTTTTGCTGCCGGGTTGGTGCAGATGGTCTGTCCTGCCGTTGGCGAGAGTTTAGCATTTGGTTGTAGAAAGGTATATTTCGTTCTAGGAAGCATGGCAGGGCGTTTTGTCAGCGGCTTGCGTAGTGATTTCGGCGTGTCTGGCAGGTCGTGAATGAGTTCACCTGTGAGCCCAAATCGTTTTGCGATCCCGCGGTGTGGCGCCAAAGCCCAGCAGACCAGTGCGGCAACTCTCCCTGTGATTTCTGCTGCACCTCGCATGAGATGATGGCATCTGGCGGCATTTGCCCTGCGCCTTTGGCTGCAGATGCAAACGTGCGTAGCCAGGGATGTATGTGCGGCAGTCACTTCGGTTCTTTTCGCTGAACATGCGTGTGCTGTGTATGGAATCCCGCATCCCTGTCGTGAGCCTTGCCTGCGCTGTGCGAGTTGCTAGAGTGTAAAACAGTATGATGTTCAGTTTCACACTTGCCACATGGTAAGGGCGAACCCCTCACATACCCATACTTGCAGCAAGCAGATGAGCGGTTGCAGGTGGTTTTCTCGCATACGAGCTGTTTTCCAGGTCTGTCGTTTCTTTCAGCAGGCCAGATGTTGCCAAGGTCTTATCCTGTGACGATGCCTTGGTGAGTCTTGGGATGGATGAGATTTGGCCGAGAAGCGACACTTCAACCGAGGACGCAGAAAAAGGGAGGGACTCAGTTAGTACCCGGGTTTCCAGTTTGATGCGTTCTCTGAGTGCGTATATGATGCAAGTAGTAGTTCAGATACACATCCATCAGCAGCAATACTTGTGCCGCAGGAGACCATCTTCTTCAACATGATCGCCTTACTGATTTTGATGTGCTTCTTCCGGCTGCAGGGCCTGAACATCTTGATGTGCAGCTACCGCCGTGCAACCACCGGCCGTTGCTTACCATGCCTGCCATTCCGTACGGCTGCGGCAGTGGAGCCGCGGCCAGCAGGACCCACATCTGACACAGAGTGAGGCTCAGCACGACCGAGATGCGGAGCAAGCCATCAATCCATTTACCGGGCACTGCAGAATGTGGGCAGAGCACGGGACGACTGCGTGTGTCTGTGCGCACAGATGCAAAACGTGAGTGTGTGAATGTCTCACACGTTGAGCCATGTTAGGCACCTGTAATCATCCGATACTCGCTTGGAAATCGGGTGCGCACACTCTAATTCATCAGTTTTGTTGGCTTCGGCTTTTTTGCCGTCGGGCATTTGTGCTCGAGGACTCGAGGGCGCAGAAGGATGAATGCAATGTCTTGTTATTAAGGGATCCAGCTTTGCTTCTTTGCTGCGAGGTTGAGCCCAAAGCCATGTGCAGTTGAGTTGAGACCAGGGCGTCGGGGTTGGGGTGACGGGGCCCAGAGAAAAGTCGTGGGCTGTGTTGAACCAATCCCCCCCATGGCCCGACTCCGGTGGCACAATTTTAGGGTGGCCCACCCGTGGTGTAGTTCTAGTCGGCCTTTTCACCTCCAGAATCTTTCTGTTCAACACACGAGCTGATGCTTTGTTCGAACCTTGAACGTGGGCGCACCCTGCCACCCCTTGTGAGTTCTAACCAGATCCTGGGTGCAGCACGATTGCATGTTTCAGATCAGTCGCGCTCCTTGATGGAGCGGAGTCTGCTGGACCCGGCGAGGAAAGAAAAGGTCAGTCAGAATGAGGTTCCTTCCTCTTTTGCTGCAGAAGCTCGGGGGAAGCCGCAGAGAGACAGCTGGTTGTTTACGAAAGTTTTACGAAGCTGTGCGATGAATCAGTGTCACAGAGGAGGGCTGCCAAATGGGCTTCTTTGGCTTGGTGTTAGAGGGACCGCTGAGCAGTTCTTCAATCAAGCCAGCGCTTTTAAGCGTATTTGCCGAGCAGACTTGCATACTGGTGGGTCGCTGGACCGACAGCATACTGTAGGGACGACCGAATCGCCAAGGCACTTGGATGCGCCTCCACGAGCCGGCCTGTGATTCCAATAGCAGCGCCCTGGCCTCGACGTGGCACTTAATACAGGGGGTCTTGACTACCAGCAGGTTCATCTTTCGGTCTTCCATGTCACTTTGGCGAAGGATCAGCACGGCAGCAGATGTGCTCAGGGACGGCACTGCAAGCTCGAGCTGGCATTTCGCATGCGAGGCCACCACGGGCCAAGTCGTTTTTAGCAGCCTGCAGACTTTGTAGTGTGCCGGCCTCTTCGTGCCCCCCAGGCTGTCGCAACACCGCACACAGCGCTGACATGCAGCATGTCTCAGCGACCCACGAAACTAAGCGATTCAGAGCCTCGCCGCATTGAACGTCGGGAGTAGGAAAGGAAAAACGTCATCGGCGGTTTTTAGCAGGAGCATTGACGCCTGCACGCTTGCCTGGGGATCTTGTAGCAATCTGACAACTCTGGTTTGGAGACGTTAGCGGTGCGAAGACTAGGTCTGTACGTCGAACATCGCTATCGCTTCCTTGGTCCTAGCCCTGCAACCACCCGCTTGCGGTTGGGGTTTCGGGTTTAGGGCTTTAGCGTTACGAAACACCAACTCGCCGAGGGTGTTCTCCAGCTGACTGGTTCTACGCAGGTCCGAAGCTTGGAGCGACGAGGACTTTAAGAATGACATATCAACAAGGCTTTGCGAGCGCATGTTTCATGCCCATTTCCTCACGACATGTTAATCCTGGGTCGAACACGTTCACGTATCGGTGCGACGTTGCTTTTCTTCGTGTTATCGTTGATTTTCACAGCTTCAAAGGCTAGGTGTAACAATTGAGCATGTGGAATGATGGTTATCATCTGCCTTCATGAGCCTTATGCATGCGGAATTGTGTTGTTATCCATTCAGTCATTCATGCACAAAGCGATTGCAAGAAACATTTGCGACCCACTGCGTTTGTGAACACAGTTTCTTGACTCCCAAGAACCCATTTGGTTGTTTGCTGGATGTACCTTGGGTGCTGTCTGACTTTGGTTGGGTTCCTTTGGTCTCAGCCCGGAATAGCCCGAAAGAAAATGGTGCAGGTCGGCTTCAACTTAAGGAGCCCTGTGACGAGTTGGTGTCGTCAAGGAGTTTCGCGATGTTTGCCCCTTGGTCCGCAAACTAATCTCAACGCAACAAACCTGCGTGCTCACTCGTAGCTGGCGGTCCTGGACGGCCGGAAAGCCGGAGGATGAGGAATCGAAATCCTGCAAACTGCCACCTGCGGGGCTTCAAACTCGGCGCCATAATGCCTGCCAACCGACTATCTAGTAGCGATGAAGCCATCAAGCATGAGCCCCGGCGTCTGAGAACGGCCTTCCGCTGCTGATAAGGATGATTCGGGTAAGGTCCACTTACAGGGAACTCGAAACATGAGCAGAAAGTGTAGCACCCCGAAGACGCAAGCAGAATGATCGGCATCCGCAGGTCTCAGTTGAGAGGCTGCCGGCCGTCTTTGGCGTAGTTCTTGCTCTCTTCGTTCGGTCTTGGCTCCAGCACAGAGTTCCGGCCCGAAATTGTATCTCCTGAAACATCTTGAAACTGCCGAGCCATGAACGTGGCAGTGGAAAGCCTGAGCATCACTGTCGCAGGTGGCAGGAAGCTGTTGGATGAAGTGAACTGTGTGGTTCAGGCAGGAGATATGGTGGCTTTGATGGGTCCTTCGGGGGCCGGCAAAACCACGCTGCTCAACAGCATCGTGGGGAGAACCATTTCTGGACTCACTGAAGGGGGCATCTACTACGATGGTGCCACGTTGTCCAAAGTCAGGCAGGCGGTCATCACTTTGGCAAGCTTTTGTCTAGATGTCCATCTGAATGGGGTATGCGGGCTATTTGCAACCTGTGTTGTCAGCTCGTTTGAAGTGCAAACCCTGGGAAGGAGCAGCGTTGGATACGTCACCCAGGACGATATCATGTACGAGACCCTGACGCCACGGGAGAACTTGACCTTTGCGGCCGCCTTCATCTTGCCAAAGCTTTCTAAAGAAAGCCGCCAGAAGGAGGTGGACGACTAATGTTCCTTTTCTCCAGCTTTCTGATCAAAGGGGTGTCAAGTCAAGTCTGCACTTGAGGCGCCGGAAGTCAAGCCATCAAGAACGAAACGAGAGGGCTGCAGAAGGCTTCACAGCTCTTTTTGCTTCTCTGTCTTTCTCTCTCACTGTGATTGTGAGGTGGATAGCGTTATCGAGAAGCTCAACCTGAAGAAGTGTGCAGACACCGTCGTGGGTTCTCCCGGCCTCGTGCGCGGAATCTCCGGAGGAGAAAGGAAGCGCACGAACGTGGCCCTGTCCCTGTTGGGAAGCCCTTCTCTGCTGTTGCTGGATGAGCCTACCAGTGGCTTGGACTCCAAGATGTCCGACTCCCTCATGAGAGACGTGAAGCAGATCACCGAGCAGGGCTGCACGGTCGTCGCCACAATCCACCAGCCTTCGGAAGCCGTCTTCACGCGCTTCGACAAGGTCTTGCTCTTGGAGACTGGGCGTGCCACTTGGCTCGGTCTCAACTCATTTCGTTGCCGAGATTGGAGCACTCTGTTGAGTCTGCTTTGTCGGCTCATTTCCGAGTAGCGTGACGATCGGGAAAGGGGAAGCCCGCCAACAAGACAAGCCAGGTGGCGTACTACGGGGCCATCTCCGGCTTGCGAGGATCTCTGGGCGGCTTGGGCTTCACATGTCCTGAAGGCACCCCGCTTCCGGAGATCCTTCTGGATCTGCTTGAAGTGCCGGCGGAGGAGGCTTCGCGTGCGGCTCACACGGAGAAGTTGCAGAAGTTGAAAAAGCTCTCGGACACTCGGAATTCGGTTTGTCGCATCTCAGATATGCACAGGTGCCCATCCATTTGAGTTCACGCTGAACCGGTGGAGCCGAGGACACCACTTCGCTGGATCGCGGCTCGCCCACGAAGTCAGAAGCGCCTCCCAAGAGGGCTGGAATCTGTGGGCAGGTGGCCGTACTCTTCAAGCGGGAGCAGCTTGGGGCACGGGATCTCTAGAAAGTAGAATCCCGCGTCGGGAGGCTAATCTCGAATGTTTTCAATACAGCTTCTTGAGATGTGAGTATGCAAGTAAGACCTTGAATTGTTTCTGAGCGAGCATTCGATCCGTGAGGAGCTGGTCAACGTGAAGCGGAACAAAGCCCTGACAGTCGTTCGTGCTGTCCAATCGGTCGCTTCCGCACTTTTAATCGGCTTGATCTTCCTGCAGCTGGAGCGCAACATGTCAAGCCTCTCTCCACGCTTGTTCTCCAGCTTCCTGCTCGTCTTTGCTCAATTTCTGTTTGCTCTGCTGGGGGTCGTCAACGCCTTCCCCGCAGAGCGTGCTGTGTTCTTGCGCGAGACGCAGGACAAGCTCTACCACCCAGCGGCGTTCTACTTGGCTAAGATTTCCATCGACACCCTGATGCAATGCCTCTTCCCCATCCTCGTGGTGGCCATCAGCTACCCACTAATTGGCTTCAACGGGGAATCAGCTGATCGCGTTCTTTGGTTCTATGCCATCATGGCTGTGGTTTCCAATTGTGGAGCCGGGGTGGGGTTCATGGTCTCGGCCGCCGTGCCCAGTGTGAACCTGGCCCTCTCCATTGCACCCGGCTTGATAATGCCACAGCTCTTGCTGTCGGGCATCTTCATCAAGGTGCCAGGGAACCTGGGCCCTGCTGAAGGGAAGAATCCAGTTTCTTTTTGTCGTATTCCGGAAGTTCTGACAAGCTCATCAGGTGGAGGACTTGCCGCAGCCCTTCAATGCCCTGAGCTATCTCATGGTCGCCCGGTATGCCGTCCAAGCTACCGCAACTCGGCGCAGCTTTGCAAAGTTTTGCTGCCGGGTTGGTGCAGATAGTCTGTCCTGCCGTTGGCGAGAGTTTAGCATTTGGTTGTAGAAAGGTATATTTCGTTCTAGGAAGCATGGCAGGGCGTTTTGTCAGCGGCTTGCGTAGTGATTTCGGCGTGTCTGGCAGGTCGTGAATGAGTTCACCTGTGAGCCCAAATCGTTTTGCGATCCCGCGGTGTGGCGCCAAAGCCCAGCAGACCAGTGCGGCAACTCTCCCTGTGATTTCTGCTGCACCTCGCATGAGATGATGGCATCTGGCGGCATTTGCCCTGCGCCTTTGGCTGCAGATGCAAACGTGCGTAGCCAGGGATGTATGTGCGGCAGTCACTTCGGTTCTTTTCGCTGAACATGCGTGTGCTGTGTATGGAATCCCGCATCCCTGTCGTGAGCCTTGCCTGCCCTCTGCGAGTTGCGGAGTCTCAAACAGTATGATGTTCAGTTTAACGCTCGCCACATGGAACCCTCACATACCCATACTTGCAGCAAGCAGATGAGCGGTTGCGGGTGGTTTTCTCGCATACGAGCTGTTTTCCAGGTCTGTCGTTTCTTTCAGTAGGTCATCGCTGCCCGATGATGTTGCCAAGGTCTTATCCTGTGACGATGCCTTGGTCAGTCTTGGGATGGATGAGATTTGGCCGAGAAGCGACACCTCAACCGAGGACGCAGAAAAAGGGAGGGACTCAGTTAGTACCCGGGTTGCCAGTTTGCTGCGTTTTCTGAGTGCGTATATGATGCAAGTAGTAGTTCAGATACCTGTCCATCAGCAGCAATACTTGTGCCGCAGGAGACCATCTTCTTCAACATGATCGCCTTACTGATTTTGATGTGCTTCTTCCGGCTGCAGGGCCTGAACATCTTGATGTGTAGCTACCGCCGTGCAACCACCGGCCGTTGCTTACCATGCCTGCCATTCCGTACGGCTGCGGCAGTGGAGCCGCGGCCAGCAGGACCCACATCTGACACGGAGTGAGGCTCAGCACGACCGAGATGCGGAGCAAGCCATCAATCCACTTACCGGGCACTGCGGAATGTGGGCAGAGCACGGGACGACTGCATGTGTCTGTGCGCACAGATGCAAAACGTGAGTCTGTGAATGTCTCAAACACGTTGAGCCATGTTAGACACCTGTAATCATCCGATACTCGCTTGGAAATCGGGTGCGTGCACTCTAATTCATCAGTTTTGTTGGCTTCGGCTTTTTTGCCGTCGGGCATTTGTGCTCGAGGACTCGATGGCGCAGAATGATGAACGCAATGACTTGTTATTAAGGGATCCAGCTTTGAAACCGCGAAGTTCACAGACTTTGGAGACCACACGGTTGCCTTCTTTGCTGCGAGGTTGAGCCCAAAGCCATGTGCAGTTGAGTTGAGACCAGGGCGTCGGGGTTGGGGTGACGGGGCCCAGAGAAAAGTCGTGGGCTGTGTTGAACCAATCCCCCCCTGGCCCGACTCCGGTGGCACAATTTTAGGGTGGCCCACCCGTGGCGTAGTTCTAGTCGGCCTTTTCACCTCCATAATCTTTCTGTTCAACACACGAGCTGATGCTTCGTTCGACACTTGACCGTGGGCGCACCCTGCCACCCCTTGTGAGTTCGAACCAGATCCTGGGTGCAGCACGATTGCATGTTTCAGATCAGTCGCGCTCCTTGATGGAGCGGAGTCTGCTGGACCCGGCGGAGGAAAGAAAAGGTCAGTCAGAATGAGGTTCCTTCCTCTTTTGCTGCAGAAGCTCGGGGGAAGCCGCAGAGAGACAGCTGGTTGTTTACGAAAGTTTTACGAAGCTGTGCGATGAAACTGTGCCACAGAGGAGGGCTGCCAAATGGGCTTCTTTGGCTTGGTGTTAGAGGGACCGCTGAGCAGTTCTTCAATCAAGCCAGCGCTTTTAAGCGTATTTGCCGAGCAGACTTGCATACTGGTGGGTCGCTGGACCGACAGCATACTGTAGGGACGACCGAATCGCCAAGGCACTTGGATGCGCGTGCCTCCACGAGCCGGCCTGTGATTCCAATTGCAGCGCCCTGGTCTGGTTCTATACAGCTGGAGCGTGATGTAGCGCAAAACCCGATTCCAATGATCAAGGATGGCTCCTGCATTAAGGGCTTGCAAATACCTTTTAACAAGTCAGATTCGTATCCCCTCTAGTTAGCGATTCAGTTTCATCCTTCGGTAACGTGTTTAACTGTCGCAGACTGCATTGACTTCAACAATGCCTGCCTTAGCTCCAGACCTGCTCAGGCACGGACAAGAGGCGAGACAAGTTCGAGCTGCCATTTTCCATGCCAGGCCTCCAGCGGCCAAGTAGTCTTTAGATGCCGGCAAAAAAACTGTGTCGGCCTTTTCGTGCCCACGCGCGAAGTTCCTGAGGCTTTTGGATGGGGGGGTGCGACGAGCTTGCATGTCGCTGTCGAGCTGCTTGGCTCTGTTACAATCGAAAACTCATAGAGCTCAGATTCTGATTGCTCGATGCCACATATTACGAATTGAAAAATGCTTCATCGCCAAAATCAATGCTTCTATAATCTCAGTGCTGCGTGGTCGTCGTGGGATGTATTTGTAAACATTTGTACAGTGACAGTTATAATAGTATCGGTCCAGACATTTCAGTCCACGCTTGCAAGTCATTTCTCAGGGTTCATAGGATTTTGGGGTGAAGGGTTTGAAGATCGCGGGTTTCAGGGTGTTGAGGGTTTACTAATGAATCCAATTTGTGGCTGAGCAAGGACGGGGCGGCATCCATGGTGCCAGAAGCTAAGTTGCGTCAAATTTCCTACCGCAGATGAGTTTTGCTTTGGGTCCCCAGTCCAGGTGTGAAAGTCCTACACCCCTCAACAGAAGAGGAATGTAAATTGGACTCACATGTTGCAACACTTACTGTACAGCTGCAACATATGAGATATTCTTGTATGATAAAGGGGCAGTGGACTTTCTGAATTGCACATGCAACGTTTGTTTCGAAAGTCAGCAGACGGAGCAGCAATCATCCTCTAAGATGCTGCAGTGGCCTCCGCGGGGTCTGCGTTGCATTGTGGAGACCTTTTCTTGTTAAGCTGCCGTCAGTCAGACGACCCTGTGGCAGGTCGACTGGCTTGTAGTTGATCTTCCCAGGTGCTCACAAGATGACTCTACGCCTGTCTGTTCCCGTTGCCCGTGTCTGGCTTCAGCCTGCCTTTAGCCTTCGCTCCCCCCGCCAGCCGCCATGAGCTCGTCGAGCATTGTGACAGCATCCCGCCAGGCGGCCGCTCTGCGGCGAATCGCCAAGGATCCTTAGTCAATCTTCGGGATTGTTGCTTTTGGCGATTTGGGATTCCCGAAAAGAGATAAGCGGCGCTTTTTTTTGTGATCCCTTCCTCTTTCCGCCGTGGTAGCCAAGGATCTGAGAGAGTTGGAGGCCGAGCCTCTGCAGCTGGTCTCTGCCAGACCGGTGGATCTGAACGATCCCTTCTGCTGGCATGTGAACCCGGGTTTGTGTTAGTAGTTTCTGCTACCATAGTCGGGACAGATCGTGCCTGGAAATGTTGATATGTAGGATTATAGGATTATATACGTCTAATGGGCTTTCCCTTAAACCTAAACCCTAGATCATGGTAGCCTAGATTGAGGCCCTTAGCAAGAGCCCAGGAACCTTCGACCTGCAGACGGCCCGCTCAAGGGGTGCATCTTCCACTTGGTGATGCACCTGCCAAGAGACTATCCCTTCAGCCCTCCGAGTATCCGATTCCCCACGGAGCATTTTCCGTCCTTTCGACATCCCAACCTTTTTGGGAGCATGATCTGCCTGGACATCTTGCAATCTTTCATCGGCTGGCACGATGCGCACAGCGGTTGGAGCACAGCTTACACGGTCCAGACTGTGCTGCTGCAGCTAGCACCTCGGCTTGTCGTTTTGCCAAGCTTTCGCGGATGTACCAGACATGGAACAGCACGGACATAAGGCCCACCGCGAGAATTTGCATTGGGAGTTCACTTCTGTGTGCACTATATGCAGAAAGATTCCAGGCATCCTTCCTCTTCGAGACCGACCACGTGCCGCAGGACTACGGTGGCCCCAAGAAGTCTCAAATGACCCCGAAGCTGGCAGAGAAGCTCCGGGCCGAGTGCGAGAAGTTCCGGTGCCCCTGCGGACATTGCTTTTCGGCTCCGATGCCCGAGATGATCGAGCCCCAGATTCTACCTCCAAGCCCTCCTCCCAGCCTTCCCTGCGTACCCTCTGGGCCCTCTGGGCCCTCTCTCCCTCCGACGCCGATGATCTCCCACCAAAACCAGGGCGAGCAGGGCCCTGAAAATCCGCCGAGTCCCCGCTGCGGAGACCTGGTGAAGGGCCGAGTGGTGCAAGAGCACCCCGGAGGCTTCGTCCTGGAGCTGCTGGGTATCTGTCAAGGAAGCGAAGGAAGACTAGGTGGTAAATAGCGTGCTTCACTTTCTTTGCCTTTTCAAGCAACTCAGACTGAGACACATTTCTCAATTTTCCCGATCCTTGTGGGGAATATAATATTTCAGCAAGAGCCCAGGCTGCCCTTCCAAAAACACCAGGGTTGGCTGGCCCGCGATCGCCGCTGCGCCCTGGCACTGCAGCAGGACGAAGCCGCCGAGGGCCGCATTAGGTTTCTGATTCCGTGGGTTCTTATACGAAGGATCCTTATTGTCCAGGGGTTCTAGCAGGTAAGGGATATTCTGGCCTAGCTGCTTGTCAGCTTCACCTGCAAACCGACCCAAGCCTCACAAGCTTCCTGAAGCCCTTAATTCTGGACGATGAGCCGCAGGAAGTCTCCGCCGTCGTGACCTGGGTGCAGTCACAGTGGCTTTACCTGCAGCTGGTCCCTCGGCGTTCCCGGCAGCAACTGGAAGAGCTCCAACAGCTTCAAAAGGAAGTGCCGGGGCTCATTCTCTCCGTGAAAAGCTGCTAGGTTCTCGTTAAAGACCTTTGTTTAAGCACCGTTTGTGCTGCTATAGTAAACTAAACACCTTCCTTACCGTGCCAACTTTGAGTCCTGAAGTTGAAGCCCAGGCTACGGCCTCTTCGTGGACATCGGCGCCCGGGCGCCAGGCCTCGTCCACGTCTCGGAGCTGGACGCCGAGCTCCAAAGCTTCGATTCAAAGACGCCTTTGCTGGTCCGAATCTGGGTTCTTGTTCGAGAATTTTAATCAAGTTTCCACAACAGGGATCTATAGTTTCTAATTCGGTGATTTTTTATTGTGGTAACTTATAAAATCCCCTTGACAAGAGCCCAGGAATCCTGGAGCTGGAGTCCGCCAAAGGCCTCCGGCTCACGGCCCGGGGGGGCCCCTTCAAAGCGCCCTCTTCCTCGGCGAGGCGGCTTCACTTGCTGCAGCCCGCCTTGTGCGTGGACTTCCCAGGCCCCGCAGCCGAGGTGCTCCTTCAGTTCCCGGGCTCTTCTTCAGCTGAGTCACCAGAACAGGGCCACAGTGGTAGACAGGTATATGATGTATGTATACGTATACACGCGCATCTATACACATGTGCAAAGATAAATGGTAAAACGTCGAAGCATGTTAAGCTCCCGTGCACCTTTTTATCCCAGCCCGTGTCGTAACCGTTACAGTAAACCCTTAAAGGAGCCTTACAGCAACGATTGTGGCCTTAGCATGGAAAGAGTAGCTTAGGTTGAGGTCCGTGACTTGGCAAGAGCTCAGGTTCTTGCCCCTTGAGGCTTTGAGGTCCCTTTCTCGTTCTGGGCGAGCATGGATGGGACCAGCGGAGGAGGCGCAAACGGGACTTTTGTTCTTCGTAGTACTGTGGCCATCAACCCCTATAACCATAATGACATGGACGATCATGGTCATTGCTGCGTTACCGGAATACGAACGCAACAAAAGTTTTAGAGGCGACAATGACAACCTTCCTTCTATCGTCGTTGTTGCCATCACCATTCCTGTCCGCGGTCGCCCTCACAGAACCCTATTTGGAGGAGATCATGGGACTCAGTAAGTAAGGTTATAAGTACCCTAATTGGGCTTATAAGTATAGTTACCCTAATTTTACCCTTAGTTACTAACTCCTCTTAAACTTGTGCAAAATCCTATAAAACACTGCTTCTGAGGCGGCCTCCTCTTTTCTTCGCACGGAGCTGCGCTGCTTCCACACGAAGGCCTCTTTCGAGGAGGGGATTCTGGGCTTGGGCGTGGCCATCACCGAGGAGGCTGGGTCTTTTGGGAAGAAGGCTCCCGAAAAAAAGAGAGCCCTCAAAGGATCGCGTAACGGAGCCCTAAACCCCAAACCCTTAAAGATCCCCTTAACGGCAAAGCGGCAACCTCAAAGCTCCCTTGGGGTTTGTAGCGTTTTTGTGGGGTCCTGCAGAGTTCGCCCCTCCCAACTTAACCCCTCCGCCACTCTTAACTTAACACAGCCCCCCGCCCACATTCTCTGTTTGGAAAGCCCAGGAGCGCACGGGAAAGCGTCACCTGACATGCGATTTCGACCCGCTCTCCGAGGAAGCATTCTTCAAGCTGCAGGCGGGAGGTGACCTTCGGGGTAAGGCGGCCGCCTCAACCCGAAGCCATCGACCCCAACCAGCTCAACGTAAACATTAGAAGGGGCTCATCAGTACGGGCTGGACTCGTCGGGAAGGGTTCACCCTGGACCCTAAGCCCCAACATCCCGAGCCTGTTTTTTTGTGAGGTGGGCCAGGGAGTCTGGAAGCAGAAGATCAGCTACTCAGGTCTTGTTAAGCAGTTTCATCCCAGTTGCTAAAATAGAGATATGTAGCCATATAGGAACAAGAAGCTTTTCAGAACCCGTCAACACCCTTCGCAAGCCTTTTGACATGAACTTTTTGGAACTCCCATGTCCGAGTGTGAGCGCCGAAACCCCTAAACCCTAAACCACTCTTATCAGAGATGGAAACCAGCAACCACCCTGTGCCCAACAGCCCAGGCTATTGGATCCCCATGGCCATTTGCAGGGAGCATTTTGAGCAGGGCCTGGAGAGGCTTCTTGAGGCTCTTCCGAGACAAACAGAGGGCTAACTTGGAGGAGCACGGGGGACATAGTAAGTAAGGTTATAAGTACCTTCATTGGGGTTATAAGTATAGATATAATTATAACCCTAGTAACTAAGTCCCATGATCCTCTAAGTAGGGTCCTTTATACTACGCACCATGTATTAAGTCCTATGCACTATTCGACTTACATCTTGTATACCACACGCGATACGCTTGTCTATGTTCTGTAGCATGTCCTGCATGCTATGTACTACCGTATGTTATTTACCATGTAGTAGGTACTTTAGATTGTTTGCGGTACACGATATACCGCACATCTTCTGACTGCTTGTTTATTATGTTAACCTCACTCGTTCGTATTTAATGGATACTATATACAACATTCTGCATGCTCCGTTGCTATATGGTGCTTGCTGTGTGCCATATGCTGTGTGTTATATACACCACATGATACGATATCACACTTTCTTGTGCTACAGCATTACGTTTTGCTATGATGAATTACTTTTTCAGGGCATACTTCAATATGCTGTCCGACATGATATGATGTGATTTAGGTGTACCACTCTACATTTTCCTACAGGTTGAAAGCTGTAAGTTGTCCGGTCCCCTCCGTTTACAAGTAGTAGCACTAGTACTAGTACGAATACCAGTACAGATGCTACTGCTCGTACTCGGACTCGCACGATCCCCAATATAAATACGAAAAGACTTCCAGTACTATTATCACAGCTAGTACTACTACTGTCATAAATCATCACTACCACGATCCCGACCCCGACCGCGACCACTGCTGCTACCGCTACCGCAGCTGCTGCCAGCCACTACCGTTACGATACTATCATTGACCCTGACACTGCCACTAACAGCCATGCCAACACGAATACTTAAATTGAATATTGCAACTCCGCCGCACTCTCCTCTGCTCTACTTTATGCTATGCTTGACCATACTATGCCATACTAGTGCAGTTTCTGTAGACTGTGCCCATCGACCATACCATGCCAGCCTCTACTGTGCCACAGAAAGCTAGGCTTTTACTTCTATGCTGTACTATGCTGTGCCATGCTACATGGACCACAGTGGAGCCCCCAAGCCCCCAAAACCCTAGGGCCTAAACCCTCAACCCTAGACCCTGCACCCTCGACCCTAAACCCTAGACACTAAACCCTAGACCCAAACCCTAAAACCCTAGACCCTAAAATCCTAAAACCCTAAACCCTCAAGAGCCCAAAGAGCCTTCTTTCAGGCCGTGCGCGAGCTCGGCTCTGGGAGGGTGGCCGAGCTGACGAAGTCTCACGGCCTCGGCTCCGGTGGGCGCCAGGGGGAGCTGAGGCCGCGCGTGCGCGCGCGACTTTAATTTTAAGGTGCTGGGACTCTAGGACAAGGGTTTAGCTGAAAAGGGTTCTTGGGGGGGGGGGGGGGGGGGTTTAGGGCTTTGGCTTTTGGGCGACTTTGTCTTTGGTGGTTTTGGGGCTTTAGGGTTCTGGGGCTGTTGAGGGCTTTAGGGTTTGGTGTTCAAGGGTTTCGGACTTCTAGAAGGGTTTCGAATTGAGGGTAGTTTGAGGGTTGATAGGGCTTTTCAGCGGGTTCCGTCAGGGCCTTAAAAAAGGGTTCTTGGGCCTTGGCTTTTAAAGCGTTCACAAGGCTTTGACAAAGCTCTTAGAAGGATTCTATGAAGGTTCCACAACGGATTCGGTAGAAGTCTACAAAAAGTGTTCTTCGAGGTCTTAGGACTTCAGGGTTTTGAGAGTTAGGGTGTGAGGATTTAGAGCATCAGGGTTTTGGGGCGTTAAGGTGCCAGAGTTTCGGGTTTCGGGGTGCTAGGGTGTTCGGGCTTGGATTTAAGGTTTGATGGTGCTTGGGAGTCTCTGTGTTGTCCAGAGTGTGGAGCCGCTGATAGGTCTGAGAAGCTTCAACGAGGTGGGTTCTTTAGCGAAGTTTTGTCTGTTGAAGAGAACCCTCCTAAACCCTTAATCATAGGCCTACACTCATGAACACTCTAACCCCAGGCCCTGAACTTTCGGCCTTCCAACCTAAAGCCTCAGGCCTCCAAAGCCCCTTGCGGGAGAAGCCATCACCTTTGACGAGTCTGGGCAAGCTTAGGTTATCTTATCCTAACAATGCTGTTGCTTTCTTTCTTGTTCGAGCATGGTTTAATGGTTTTGCAAAGATTTAGTTAGCGGTACCACAATCTACCACAGTGGGGGATTTACCGGAGTGTAACTTGCCAGAAATGTTCATTCTTTTCATGCTGTACAAAAACAAAATCGAAGGAGTACACGACCACTTCAAACCCCCTTGTGCACTCCCGCCTACAAAGACAGCCTACATTGCCTACGGCAGGTCGTGTCAAGAGCCCGAGGAGTGCCCTGAAACCTGCACGCTCCGCCCTCTGCCCCAGATCTGAACCCTGAGTGAGCATCCCAAACCCCAAACAGCCCCAACACCCCATACACATCCCAAAACCTTACACATCCCTCAACTCTGAGCCCTACACCCCCAAACCCCACCACCCAACAGCCAAGAGCCAAGGAGTGGCAGGCCCAAAGGCAGGCGTTGCTGGAAAGGCAGCGCCGGGAGCGCGCGGAGAAGGCCCGGGTCCTCGAGATGGAGAAGGCCTGGGTCTTTCAAAGGGGGGCTTAGGGGCTTATGGTTTAGGGAGGCCAGGAGAATTTCAATGGTGATATCAAGGATGTCATGGGGATTTGTAACGGGTCGGTAGAAGGCTGAGGGCTAGGGGTTTGGGACCATGAGAGGCACTTCCGTGGGCCTCAGGCTCCAGGTACTTGTGGCAGTAATTGTTTCTGATGCTTGAATCCCAAACCATCCTGAACCCTGAGCCTTAGAAGTGTTTGTATGTAGAAGAGTTATGCCAATCTGATTACTAAGATTGCCCTTCGGCTCCGTTCGAGATCTGAAATCATAAGGCGTCGGACACTTGGAGGTTTATAGGCCGTTATTAGTGGGGTTAGAAGTCCCCTGATATGGGGATAGCTATGGTTACCCTACCTTGTAACCCCACTTATCACTACCCATGAACCTCCAAGTAGTTATTAAACCCGAAGCGTAGACCTTGAGCCTTAAACCCCAAATTCCAAAGCCCTACAGCCGAAACCCTTCATCCCAATCCCTGAGCCGTAAACTTGAATATTTACGATAATATTAACCATAATATGAATAATAATCTTTCAGCTAAATCAATAATGATATGAATAATATCTATACTCTTATCAAAAATTTCTCTCCGCTTTCAAGGCGGAGGCGGAAAGATGTGGTCTGAGCCTCGAGGAGTGGCGCCAGCAGGCGGCCGAGGCCGAGGCCCAAAAGGCCAAGGCCAAAGCCAGAGCCAGGGCCGCTTTGCTTAAAAGATCATGCGACTTAGTAGGGTTCCTTAAAGGGCTCCTTTAAAGGGATCTATAGGGGTTCCATTATAAGAGTGGCTTTAGGGTTTACTTAAAGGATCATGGGACTTAGTAACTAGAGCCATAATTGGGGTAACTTTACTTATAACCCTGATTAGGGTATGTATAACCTTACTTATTAAGTCCCATAATCCTTCAAGTACCTTGAGGGATTTGAGATCAGGGCTGCCTTGTTCTGCTATCGTGGTTAAAGAAGTCACTTGCAGATACGGCGATGAGGAAGGCCTTGGCACCTGCTATAGGGGCCTGAATAATTACCAAGACTACTTGTGGGTTTCCTTGTTATGCTTATAGTGTCATGGGCCCCAAAACCCTAGTCTAATTATGAAGGCCCCTATACTAAACCCTTATAGATCCCTTCTAGCAATCCTCATAGAGCCCCCTTCAAAAGGAACCCCAAGGAGTCCTCATAGATACCCTTTGAAAGGCCCCTACAGTACCCCGATCTCGTGAAAAAGCAAGCCCAGGCCAGAACTCTTCTCGGTCCGGGGCCGGCCGAGACGCTGCCCTTGGACCAGGCGGAGTTTGGGGTCGGAATTGGTACTTGTACTTGGAAGTTCATGGGTATTGACAAGTGGGTTTATAAGTAGGGTAACCACAATTATAACCCATATCAAGGGACTTAAAATCCCACTTATAACTGCCCATGAACCTTCAAGTAGGACGCGGGTGTAGGATTGATGGAGTTCATTCTGATTTTGGATTCTTCTCTCTGGTATTTTGTGTTGTTAGCTTTGGCTTGAAGGTGTTAGGGCTGAGGAGTTGGAATATTTGGGTTTTTCTGGTTTCCACGCTCTCTGGGTTTATGAGGCGGCGGCTATGGACGTTTTGCCAAAGCTGATGAACTCGCAGATCGTTTTGCTGATGAAGGGCGATGTGCACACGTCCGAGAAGGCGATGGCAGGATACATGGCCTTCCATCACACGCTGCTTCTTGGGAGTGATTGGTATGGGTCATAGCAACGGTATGAGTTATTAGTACCCGTTATACAAAGAACAGTGAGAAGAAGCAAACTCATAAGTGCAGTGCCAATTGAGTCTCGTTGAAAGCGACTTGGCGTGTGGCCGCAAGGAGCTGAAGCTTTTGAACTTCGACAGAGTCTGCATTCAATAAAAGTGGTGAAATGTGGTGGCGATCGTATCGTTTAACCTCCACACCTGTGGATGCGATGACACGCCCCCGAAGGTGGCGGGGGTGATGTCGTGGATGATCGCACTGCTATCGCAAGCATGTGTCACGATGGCGACTGCGGCGGCGGTTGTGATGGTGAACCTTGGTGAGGATGCTGACGCATGACTGAAGGATCTATGATAATGGGAAGCCTGTGATGATGGGAAGGAATGTTGATGCTGATGAAGGTGGTTCTGAGTTTGTGATTATGACGGTCAGGCTACTCCTTTTGATGTGGTTCCTGTGGTGGCGATCGTGATGAAGACAGTCACGACGATACGTGATCCCGGTAATGGAGGATGCGATCATGATGGCGATCGTCATGCTAATGAGCATGACTACAGTGACTACATGATGCTGATTAGAAACCCCAAACCCTGAACCCCTAAACCCCCAAGCCCTAACCCCTAGCCTAAGCCGCAAGCCCCAATACCATCCGGATAGCACGGGACGAAGTTTTTCGGACCGAGGCTCCTGCTCAAAAGCCGGTGTCCCAGCTTCAGCGACGCCATCGAGGAGAAGCTGCGGGTCTTTGCCGCGGACGAGGAGATGAGGCGCAAGGAGCATGTACCGAACCTTGGGGAGTTTATGTGCTTGCTTTCTGTGTCGGACGAGTTCACGTGGGACAAGCTTGCGGTGCCCATCCTCGAAGAGACTTTCGACCGGGGCGTTCTTTGGCTGGTGAAGGCTTATCCCCACCTGGCTCACCTATTTGCTCCCGTGGACGAGAGGATGGAGAAAACTTGGGAGACGAGCAAGGTGTCTCGGGAGCTTTTGATGTTTCATGCTTGGTTCTTGCACCATGTGGCTCACATCAAGCATGAGCACGAGCACGGCCTCTGTCAACGAGCAAGTTGCATCCTGGAGCGCTACGAGCGCACGAAGGGCTTGCCATTGCAATCCCACGTCAGCGGCCTGCAGAAGGTCGGGCGGAGCCCAAGCGATTACCACCTAAACAGAGATAAGATCTCATGATTAAGGCTTTCCGGAATGCCCCCGACACGAGTCCTTAAACTCTATAATGGTACATACACACAGAGCGCTTTCTCCTGAAGTCACTACTACTAGTCTAAGGGCCGCTATCACCCAACTTGATAAGATCCTTTCCTCCTACTGTTTATTGGGTTCAGTGGTTTACGGTTTAGGGGATAGGGTTTAGGGTTCAGGCTTTAGGGTCCCCTTCGAGGCCTGCCGCCGCTTCCGGGCCACCCGGACCTGGCAGGACTTCTTCCGGTCCCTGGAGGTTCCGCCTCGGGGAGAAGGGTTACGGGTGTAGCTTCTATCATAGGAGGCCAAAAAGGGGTTTTAGCCTATGGGGGTTTAGCAGGGATTAGGGTTCCCATAATAGGCTTCATATTAAGGAATCCCTACCCCAAGAATCTTAAACACCCCTTTTGGCTTCCCATCATTCTAGTCCACTCAAGGAGTTTATTAGGGATCTATAAGTATATAAGGGCTCCTTTCAGGGTTTAAGGTTTAAGTTACCATGAAAGGGGTTCCGGCTCGGGAAGAAGGGGTGCACTCGGTAACTGTAACCTCGAGCCTTGGAATCTAGGGCTCCTCTACAGAGCTACATAGCCATAAACCCTAAACCCTCAAACCCACCCACCTGGTGATGCTCAGGGAGATCAGGGTTCATGGGGGTCGTCACATGACTTGAACTGAGGGGCACAGGGGTGTGGACAACAGCAGTGTAAAGTGCACTGAAGGCAGGCTTTGATCACGAGCCACTGAAAGTGTCTGAGGGTGTAAGGATGGCTTTCCCTTGGAGGGATTCTGTCTGCAGGCGGAAAAGGCGTTCAAAGAATAAAAATAAAAAAACCTGAAGCTTAAACCCTAAACCCGGTTGTTTAGGAAGTCTAGGGTTCCTGGACAGCTTCCAGCACTCCTCCAGGTCGAGCCCATGGAGCAGCAAGCGGTTGGGGCTTGGCTGCTCCGTTCCGCCCGAAGGTCTCTGAGGAAAGGCTACCATCGAAACCCTCGCGTGACGAGGGGATGAAGGCTTGAATTCAGGCTTTTGGTCCGTGCACAGATTTCGGTGCATAAGAGGCCCAGTTTTGTGAATCCGGTGGTCCTCTCTCGCACTTGTTGGCCTTCGGAGGTCTTGCAACTCATGCCTTGAGGTGCCATCCTGTTCAGTGTACAGCCGCACGCGAGAGGGAGCTGGTGTACAGTTTCCAGTGTTCAGAAGGAGATGCGAAGAGGACGCAAGGACCTTCAACCTAGCTGTGCAAGCTCTTGGTTCGGGAATTTGATTGGGCGAGCACTCCCTGAACCCTAAATCCAAATTCAACGGAAAACCTAAACTAAATCCTAACCCCAAATTGCAGAAAGCACCCAGAAACCCCAGAACCGTGAGCCCAGCTGTCGGAGCCCATGTCGTAAGGTAGTATAGAACTGTTTTACATGTTTTTCATAGGCTGTTTTGTGTAAAGGATTCAATGAGGGCTTTTATAGGGGCTTTATCAGATTCTATGGGTTGTTTTTCAACGAGCCTGAAAAGACTTCCATGCGGGTGTTGCAGTAGGGTTTTCCAAGGTGCCTTGCAGGTTCAATAGCTTCGATAGCCTGAATATGAGGAGGGGAGTTTCCGGCAAAAGGAGACCCTTCTATAGTACCCTAAATAGTAGGATCCTTATTATAAGGACATCGCGGGCCCCTTAAAAAGAACCTGAGGGAGGGGGGGTACCTTAAAGAACGTGCTTTTCAAGTTCTTTTAGGTGTTTCGGGGGGGGGTTCCCCCCTCTGGGTTCTTTTTCAAGTTCTTTATCAGGTGGGGGGGTACCCCTCCCCGGGTTCTTTTGTTGTAGCTGGTGGTGGTGGTGGTGGTGGTGGTGGTGGTGGTGGTGGTGGTGGTGGTGGTGGTGGTGGTGGTGGTGGTGGTGGTGGTGGTGGTGGTGGTGGTGGTGGTGGTGGTGGTGGTGGTGGTGGTGGTGGTGGTGGTGGTGGTGGTGGTGGTGTTGGTGGTGGTGGTGGTGGTGGTGGTGGGTGGTGGTGGGTGGTGGTGGTGGTGGTGGTGCTGCTGCTGCTGCTGCTGCTGCTGGTGTGGTGCTGCTGCTGGTGCTGCTGCTGCTGCTGCTGCTGCTGGTGCTGCTGCTGCTGCTGCTGCTGCTGCGATCTGCTGCTGCTGCTGTTGCTGCTGCAGCTACTGCTGCAGCTGCTATCAGCTGGCGATAGGTACTAGCACTACTTGCGCATTGTCGTTGTTGTCGTCGTTGTCGTGCAGTGCAGAGGAGCAGCCGAAGCAACAACACCAGCACGAAGACCAAGACCACTACCCGTCTAGGCGGCTGTGGCGTCTAAAAATTCGACGGACTGCGTGAGCCAGCTTGTCCCGCGAGCCACCACCGGCTCATGCAGTCTCCGGTGCTTCCTAAGTGTCATGAAGCACCCACTAGCATAATCTACTCACCCTTAAGCACCCGCAGTAAGGTAGGGTAACCCCACGTAGCAGCCTCGAAAAAGAACCTGGGGGGGGGAACCCCTTTACAAGAGATATGGCGAACCCACACCCAGAAAAGAACTTGGACACCTGCCTGACCCCCTGGGAAAAGAACCGAGGGGAGGGCCCCTCCCCCCCCCCTTAACAGCCCATGATATAAGGACCCCAAAGTAAGGTACACCTGATATTCGGAAATTCCCGGAAACCTATTACGTAGCAATGATAAGGAACTCATGAAGGGATGGGGGCTATAGTGGCACTGTAGAAGTGCAGACTACCGCTCTTGCTACGACAACGACGGCGACACCAGCAGAGACCTAAACTATCGAAGAGTTCAGACAATGGGCGCGCAAGCACGTGTAAACAACAGCCGCATCCGCTCACCGGCACAAGGAGTGTCCGCAAGGGTATCTTGTGATCTTATGTTGCACAAGGACCTGAAACGCGCAAGGGCGCGCGCAATGGCTTAAAGCTTAGAGAAGACTCGAGGGGCCGCGCGTAAGGGACAGTTGCCTCCGCGGAAGCTGCGCGCACCATAAACGCGCAAGGGTTTGTCAGCGTCAAAGGATTGAATAGAGGTTTTGACCGCCGCTCTGCTGGCAAAGATGATACAGACAAGGCTGAGAATGGCGACCATAGGTCTCGAACCGCACTCACAATAGACAGTTGAAAACGTTGCATTGTAGCTTTCTGCAACAAAGGAGCCCCTGTGATAATCCATGGAAGGGAACCGGAAGCACCTCTATAAAACTGAGAGGAACGACCTCCCAGCCGTGCTTTCAATCCTCTACTTAAAGGATCATGGAACTTAGTAGCTAGGGTTATAATTAGGGCAACTATACTTATAACCCCAATTAAGGTACTTATAACCTTACTTACTAAGTTCCATGATGCTCCAAGTAACTTGAAGTGCTGAAGGATGAGAGCTGAAAGGCACTTGGGTGTGTCCCTATAAAACCTTACAAGCGCGAGTGAAATCCTCCTTCTGAGATCGTTATGACAACCATATGCGAACAAGCCCTTACGAACTTTACCTTCATGGAAGCCCAAAGGAGGCTAAAACTCAGACGAAACTCCATGCAACGCCACAAAGGCGGCGCCAGCTTCGCGAAGCATCTCAGAGCCACGGGTGAGCCGCCGGTGTTGGTTTTTTGTGTGCCAGCATCCACTCCCGTTCTCATCCATGGTATCCACCACCGTCCCTTCATGTAAGGGCTATATGGGTTTTTTTGTCAGAGTTTCCGAAAGTTTGGTAAGGGTTTGATAGCGACGTTGTGCTTCTGCGTACAGGGCTCTTTGGCATTTTAAGCTCCGTATGCTCGGGCCCCCTTTTCAAAAGCTCTTACCCAAACAATCCGACCTAGTATGTATGTCGGGGGCATCCTGAGCATGACTGATCATGCAAGTGCTGCTCTTACACGTGGGGCTGACTGTTTGAAAGTACGACAAGACCTTTGCAACAAAAAGTTGTCGATTTGGGGCCAGGCTTGCCGTGGGGGTTGCCAGAAGCTTTCTACAGGGGCTTAAGGCCTCTTCATCTCGGCATCGGGGTGGGGGAGGAACTTCCTGTTGCACCCAGAGAACCGAGGGTGGAGAATTGAATGTACCGTCGTCTAGATTCAGATCCCATTGCAAGTTGAAGGGGCATCTGAAGGCCTCCTCGTTTGAGACAGTCCGGGTGAGTTGGAGGTGAAGTTAGTGTTTGGGTCTTCCGTTCTGTAAATGCCAGTATAATGTGTGTTGCAGCCTCAACCACTTGCTCGAACGTCCTGTGGCTGTGAAGTTTACTGGCGGTTGCTGTCGGAGGTTTCAACGTGCTTTGGATAGAGCGTATCGAACCTTAAACCGTAAACCCTAACCCGTCGCCCTTGGTCCGTCGATACTTGGGGCTTACATCCCATTGCTATACTCCTAAGTATGTAGGTCAGTATTGCAGACGAAGGTTCTTCCAGCAGGTGCACGTTTCCTAAGAATTGTGGGTTCGGATACTTAGAGACATCAAGGTTCAGAAATGTTTTATTCTACTCTGTTATATTTGTTATCTTATCTTGGACCAATTTGGGATCAAGCTAGCAGGCCCTCAGTCACTGGCAGTTCCCGGGCGCGGACTTTGAAATTAGGGTCTTGCGAGAGCGGGTTTGGGGCTTAGGGTGTAGAGCAGGGGTTTATGGTCAGGGTCTCGAGCCCCGGGCTTTGTGTGTGGCATTTCCGGTCCTGGTATTTCTTGCAAGAATCGGTCGCATGGCACTTCCGGCACCATTGCGCTTCCAAGCAGCCAGAGTTTTGGTGGTTATGGCAGGGCATCCGAGGCTTTAGCATGAAACCTCATAACGCCGAATCCCAAACCATTATGAGGATTTTTCATGCATTGAGTCCACGTGGTTCACTCTGTGTGATTCTGTTTCTTGCTCTTCGCAAGACTGCACCTCATATTATTTCCAAGCCAGCCTATTCAGCTTCATCATGCTTCATCAGTCTATGGAGCATTGATACGTGCTCTAGGCCTAGTTGCTGCTTTGTGTTGTCCTCTCGGGCCCGCGCAGCATGCAGACCCCGCCAGGCCAATGGCCCCAACAGAGGGGCCCGAATAATTCTCAGCATGAGTCCTTCGGGCTCTTTACTTGGAGAGTCATGGGACTGAGTAAGTAGGGTTATAAGTACCTTAAAGGCGTTAGAAGTATAGTTACCTTTACTAAAACCCTAGTTACTAAGTCCCATGATCCTTTAAGTACTATAATTATAGTACCACCTTCCCCAACAAGCCAAGGCCGCTATACTAAGCCCTTCTGGTACCCCGTTTGCACCCCTTGACAAGGAGCCCTTAAAGCCTTAAAGTAAGCCTACACTTCTTCAGACCTCTTGTTTTAACCCCAGTTTGGGTTTCAGACGCGTTACTTGTAGATCTTGGTGGGGTGCGACTGTCCCACTCACATCCGTTCTGTGTCCAGTTCCATTGCTCAGTCGAGGCCCCATGTTACGCTCAGTTTCAAGAACATATAACTCGCACTGTCTACTGTTTGGGAGGTTGAAGTGCTAGCCTGAAGGATGATGCGAGCACTCGAAAGACTTCCGGGTCTTAATTGAACCACGGTTTCACAACAGCGGCTGGCTCGAAGTCGTCATTCGGAGGAGTGTTATTCTTGTGCGGCTATGTTCCGGGTACGGCTCGCACCGAAGCAGCACCCAGCACCCAAACCTTATGGGGGCGGCAAGGCGACGGGCCCATCGAGGGAAAGCGATCCCCACAAAGGGCATCAAAGGGCGCCTTCCCTTCATCCTCACGCACTGAACCTCGGAACAGTCGCCAGACCGACAAGCCGCTTGACTGAGGGAGCCACCTACTTCCTTTCGGCGGATCGAGGCGAAGCTTCTTTCGGCGAGATTCTGAGGATCATCGGGTGGTCTGGTCTGAGATCTGAGGAACTCCCCTTGGACTTAGGTGCTTGGTTTGATTGCCTTGTTTCATGGCCTCGTGAGCTCAAGTTCAGACTCGAAACCCTAAGGCCCTAAGACCTGATGCGGGCTTCGTCCTTGCCGAGTAGGAGGGAAAACATTGCTCCACGACTTACCCAGCGAAGGATGTCAGCTTGTGTTTGCATCCTTGCTTGTTTTCTAGCATGATCCAACACGCCTCGGTTGGAGTATGTCTAGTGAGAGCATGAGTACAGCCGAGGCGGTTGTCTAGGGTGAAGGTACTGCATGCTTCTATGTTTTTGAACGTGCAAAGCAGATGTGTATCTATATCTACATCTGTATATACATGTATGTATATATATATATATATATATATATGTGTGTGTGTGTTGATGATGGCACGGCAGAGAGCGAGAGATGGATATATATATATATATATACACAAGTATTTAAATAACCACCTCCTGCTGGTCGGCGACGGATTTTGGATTTGGCAAGATTTTTCTGCAGCCGAGGTGCTGTTAAATGCAGATGGGTGACCGTCCATGGAGTCCATGCTAGCGATCTCAACCGTAAAATTAAAGTGAGAGCCACTGAACTATTCAACAAATGCAACCCATCCTTGTCCACGGGACGAAGCTTTCATGATTCTTGCATGGCACGGTCGAGTGACTCCAGTCCGCAAGTTGCGAGGGGGGAGAGCAGGGCACAACGGTGCCGAGCGTCAAGATCTCAGTCTTCGTGTCAGTTGAGGTTTCCCGACAGCTCACCCGGGAGTCAGTGTGGACACTCGGCAAACTGTTTGTGGTTGACCGTTGCAAGTAGCTGGTTGTGATGGGGAGGTTCTGAGAGCAAAATCCAAGCTCAGTTTGGCTGCTTGTGGCAGAGAGGTTCGGATTTGTGTGAGGTCTGTGAGGACGCCTCCCACCCAATTGGTTGTATTGGACATCATTGGACCATGATTGGCTTTCTGGCTAGAATACGGGCTGAAGAGTTTTATAGCTGGAGGACGAAATTCCAGCGCTTCATGTCATTAGGATGTGATGGGTTGTCACACCGCAGGGGATACATTGAACCCAAGAGTGATTGCCTCGGTGGTTTGATGCTTTGGGCGGCTAGAATGGACTGAGGAAGCGCTTTTACCGAATGAGACATGCAACAGCAGTGGCCCAGGGCGGCATAATCACTGGGAGGATTCGTTTGCCAGCGTCCGCAGGTATGTGTATACATGTAGACATGTGTTTTGAATATACATGCCTATGTATGCAACGCAGAACAATATGACATGACATGTTCGTATGTGTACATATGTACATATATCATGTAGACGAGTTATAGATCCCGCCCAGGGTTCCGTCGTTATTCTTAGTCTCAGTGTCTTCGTGCGCTTGGGATTCATGGCAAAGGTCACTCCCTAGACCGATCTATGGGTTTTGGCTCCAGCACTCAAAGCCACGGTCCGTAGTTTCATCCCCTGAGATTGCTGGGCCATGAACGTGGCAGTGGAAGGCCTGAGCATCACTGTCGGAGGTGGCAGGAAGCTGCTGGATGAAGTGAACTGCGTGGTTCAGGCAGGAGATATGGTGGCTTTGATGGGTCCTTCGGGGGCCGGCAAAACCACGCTGCTCAACAGTATCGTGGGGAGAACCATCACAGGGCTCACTGAAGGGGGTATCTACTACGATGGTGCCGCGTTATCCAAAGTCAGGCAGGCTGGCATCACTTTTGCAAACATATTTCTAGACGTCCAGCTGCCTGGCGCGCTGCCCGGACTATGTTGTAACCTGTGTTGTCAGCTCGTTTGAAGTGCAAACCCTGGGGAGGAGCAGCGTGGGATACGTCACCCAGGACGATATCATGTACGAGACCCTGACTCCACGGGAGAACTTGACCTTTGCGGCCGCCTTCATCTTGCCAAAGCTTTCCAAAGAAAGCCGCCAGAAGGAGGTGGACAACTAATGATGATGTTTCTTTTCTTCAGCTTTCTAATCAAAGGGGTGTCAAGTCAACCAGTTCTTCCTGCTTCTCTGTCTCTCCCTTTCGTTGCGATTGTGAGGTGGATAGCGTGATCGAGAAGCTCAACCTGAAGAAGTGTGCAGACACCGTCGTGGGTTCTCCCGGCCTCGTGCGGGGAATCTCCGGAGGGGAAAGGAAGCGCACGAACGTGGCCCTGTCCCTGTTGGGAAGCCCTTCTCTGCTGCTGCTGGATGAGCCTACCAGTGGCTTGGACTCCAAGATGTCCGACTCCCTCATGAGAGACGTGAAGCAGATCACGGAGCAGGGCTGCACGGTCGTCGCCACAATCCACCAGCCTTCGGAAGCCGTCTTCACACGCTTCGACAAGGTCTTGCTCTTAGAGACAGGGCGTGCCACTTGGCTTGGGTCTCAGCTCGTTTTTGAGACTAGAGCACTTTGTGTGAAGCCCGCCAGCAAAAAACAAGCGAGGTGGCGTACTATGGGGTGATCTCTGGCTTGCGGGGATCTCTTGGTGGCTTGGGCTTCACATGTCCTGAAGGCACCCCGCTTCCTGAGATCCTTCTGGATTTGCTTGAAGTGCCGGCGGAGGAGGCTGCGCGCGCGGCATACACGGAGAAGTTGGGAAAGCTGAAACAACTCTCGGACACTTGGATCGCATGAACACAACAGACATTCCAAGCCGGCACAGGTTCCCATCATTCATCCATCTGCATGCTCAACCCCGAAACCCTTCTGGCTGTGTCCGAGTTGCGAGAGCGTAAACCCTCAAAAGCAGCCTAAACCCTACACCGAGCAGGAGACCTCCTTCATGGATCGTGGGTCACCCGCGAAGTCAGAAGCGCCTCCCAAGAGGGCTGGAATCTGTGGGCAGGTGGCCGTACTCTTCAAGCGGGAGCAGCTTGGGGCGCGGGTCATTAGAATATAGATTGAGATGTGAGTATGCAAGTAAGACCTTGAATTGCGTCTGTTTCTGAACGAGCATTCGATCCGCGAGGAGCTGGTCAATGTGAAGCGGAACAAAGCCCTGACAGTCGTTCGTGCTGTCCAATCGGTCGCTTCCGCACTTTTAATCGGCTTGATCTTCCTGCAGCTGGAGCGCAACATGTCAAGCCTCTCTCCGCGCTTGTTCTCCAGCTTCCTGCTCGTCTTTGCCCAATTTCTGTTTGCTCTGCTGGGGGTCGTCAACGCCTTCCCCGCCGAGCGTGCTGTGTTCTTGCGCGAGACGCAGGACAAGCTCTACCACCCAGCGGCGTTCTACTTGGCCAAGGTTTCCATCGACACTCTGATGCAATGCCTCTTCCCCATCCTCGTGGTGGCCATCAGCTACCCACTAATTGGCTTCAACGGGGAATCAGCTGATCGCGTTCTTTGGTTCTATGCCATCATGGCTGTGGTTTCCAATTGTGGAGCCGGGGTGGGGTTCATGGTCTCGGCCGCCGTGCCCAGTGTGAACCTGGCCCTCTCCATTGCACCCGGCTTGATAATGCCACAGCTCTTGCTGTCGGGCATCTTCATCAAGGTGCCAGGGAACCTGGGCCCTGCTGAAGGGAAGAATCCAGTTTCTTTTTGTCGTATTCCGGAAGTTCTGACAAGCTCATCAGGTGGAGGATTTGCCACAGCCCTTCAATGCCCTGAGCTATCTCATGGTCGCCCGGTATGCCGTCCAAGCTACCGCACCTCGCCACAGCTTCGCAAAGAACTTTGGCCGGGCTGTTTCTGATGTTTCTGATGGTGGCAAGCTTGCCAAGTTGTGGGGTTGTTGCAAACACTGACAAACATTCTGCAGACAGCGAGTTTATGTAGCAATCTCGCTGTGTGTGTGAGAGTGTGAGGTCGTCAATGAGTTCACCTGTGAGACCAAAGCTTCGTGCGATCCTGCGGTGTGGCGCCAAAGCCCGGCAGACCAGTGCGGCAACTCTCCCTGTGATTTCTGCTGCACCTCGCACGAGATGATGGCAGCTGGCGGCATTTGCCCCGTACCTTTGGCTGCAGATGCAAACATGCGCAGCCAGCATTCCACTCGGTTTTGCACAGTACATGAGTATGAGTATGTTTGTAAGTTAAGGTCACCCCTGAAACCCACTAAGTCCCTAAGTATGATGCTCGGCGTAATTACCACTTGCTAATGGCTCGGTCGAAGGGTGAACTCTGAAGGTGCTTCCGGCAAGCAGATCATCAGTTGCCAGGGTATAAGGGAACAGCAGTTAAAGTTTAAAATGCCACCTTGTGAGTTTCACGCCTACTACAGTCACAGCGAGTTTTGATGTATGTCGCGCCGTGTCGTTTGATTGATTGTGGATTCGGTGCCTTTTCATGCGGCCAAGGTCTTGTCCTGCGGAGATGCCCTGGTGAGTCTTGGGATGGATGAGATTTGGCCGAGAAGCGACACATCAAACGAGGACAGAAAACGAGTGTGAGCCTCTTTGCACCCGGGTTTCGATGTTGATGCCTTTGTAAGTGCATATATGACAGAAGTAGAAGTTCACATACACGGCCCTCAGATCGAACAGTCATCACTGTCGCAGGAGACCATCTTCTTCAACATGATCGCTTTGCTGGTTTTGATGTGCTTCTTCCGGCTGCAGGGCCTGAACATCTTGATGTGCAGCTACCGCCGTGCAACCACTGGCCGCTGCCTGCCATGCCGCACCACTGCAGCAGTGGGACCAGGGCCGGCGAGACCCCCGTCCGCTGCCCCGACACCCAAGTCGGACACCGTGCCAGTTTGAAGCACACATCCCCAGGATCGCGCAGCACCAAGCTGTTAACCAGGCATGCACATCAGTGAGTGCACCGTGTGATCAGCGCACGGCACTGCATGTTTGTTTGCGTGCACAGATTCCGTGTGTGTTTGTGTGTATGGGATAAGATGCTCAAAACTTCTGGTGGGGCTAGGCTATGGGCGAGCATTTGATACCTGTTGCATACGACATGTCTTGGCACCCCTCGCAGAATCTGGTGCACATGCTAATTGATCGATTTTGACGGCATTTTTGGGCAGGCTCCGTTTCGGGATTTGCGCATAGGCAACCCGATGACATGTGGTGTTGGCTTCCAGTGTCAATTGCAAAAGCTCATGCTCGTTTGGAACAGTTGGTGGGGTACTATTTGGGTCGAGCTGGGCCCAAAGCCACAGCAAACAACCAGTTGAGACCAGTGAGTGGGCATTGTGCAGACGTGGCCCAGAGAAAAGTCGTGGGCTTCGTTGAACCGATTCCCGACATTGGTCCGACTCCGGTGGCAAACAGGGTGGCCAAGCAGCGGCGTACTTATACAGTGCCCATGGGCATATCCTCATTCCAGATCACTGCGTGAGTTGATGCTTTGTTCGAAAATTGAGAGTAGGTGCACCCTGCCACCCTGGATATGGGTCCCAGTCGGATTCTTGATGTGGCATGCAATGCATGTTTCACTTGATTCGCACACCTTGATGGACCGTAGTCACCTGGATCCGGCGGGGAAAACTGATAGTGAAGTGATTTGGGTTATGTTCTCAATGAAAACAAGAGAGAAAAGGTCTGTGATTCATGGTTCTCATATATCATCAACTTTGGCGAATAAGGCCTGCTAAGTGATGTGGCTTCCTTTGGTTTGGCTGTGGAGGCAAGAAAGTGCAGGGCTGCAATCAAGCTGGAGAATGCACCAAGGAAAGTCTGTGTATCCAAGCGTGGTTTTGCAGTGCTCCATTCTGCCTTTCTGAGTGGGTCGATGTCAGGCCAGCTTATGGCTTTGTTTTCATGTGTTGGCTGCAAGCCTCTGCCTCAGCCTGAAACGTAAGTCTGCGCATGCCTGTGAGATGTATGAGGCCCTTTGCTGCACGTCGCCGCCTTCTGACGAAATTCCCGACCCTCGCTATTACAGGGAAATGGGACGGCGCGAGGGGGGGCAAAAAGATGTGCGGCATAAAGTTTTTCCGAGCGAAGCTCGAATTGAATACTGTTGCATGTAACTCCCACTATCGGCAAAACACACAGTTCACAGATTGAAAGTCTCGGGATGTGATGTGTCATACTGTAGTTGCATCATAGTGTCTCCCGGTTGCTTGTTACACGTTGCTTCCCGCATTCTGCCTAACAAGAAGGCAGCCCAAATTTTGGGGGAGTCTTCAGAGTGTAGAGCAAGCAGCCTCCAAGAAAATATTGTAAGCTTCTATGCGGAGGCACGACCATGTGCTCCAACTGCGGCCGTTACATTGGTCAACCTGCAACAGACCAAAGAATCCAACATATCATGTAGTGAAAGTCAGTCATGTAAGATCCTGTAACCATGCTGGACAGCCTTTTTAAACTAAAGCACTGGTGTGGCGGTAAGTTGCACGACGGATGTTGGTCTTAGCCACCACCTCTGCACCCATAGAACGCGGCATGCACAGTGACTGGATCAACTCATTGCATAACCCCCATGCCTACGCCATGTGCAGCAGATGACGATTCGACTTTTCTCACCTTGCAGGCCCAGGAACGTTCCTCTACAGCAATGGAAGTAAGCAGAGTTTGCGGCTGTAGCTCGGGATGCACAAGTGATTTTCATAATCCTGCAAATGTAGAAAACAGAAGCTGTTTTGCGTAGCCAGCTGCTGCAGTGCAACGGTGTTACGGCAGACAACGACACCACCTCAGGTGGCCAGCATCAAGGTGGTGCAGGAGCCGAGCCTGAACGTCATCTTTGGGTTCTGGAATGGAATCGAAGCGAAGCCTTCTTGCTCGGAGCATTTGATCGGTTCCAGGACATGGACATGCCCATCAGCAGCAGTCGTCCCGAAGTGGAGGCATCAGTGGTCGGATGCGCCTTTTCCAAGCATCCAGGCATCTTTTTCTCTTTCGAAGCGACTCTCTGGAAACTGGTTGCACGCACTGGGGTCCAACGGTTCCTGCGACGTGCTTAGGTGCTGGATTTGGTTATTCCTGGCGATCGTGGTTCTGCTACAGGTCACATAAAAAGTGTCGCAAGTGCAACGCAAAATTGGGCTGTGTCAACCTGGAGTGAGTTCTTAGGTTTGGGAACGTGCAGCTGGATTGGCGCATCTTGATGCGAATAGTCAGATGAGTCCAGCGAAACTTATGAACAACACTCGCTGAACTCTCCCGGGTCGACGAACGACTAGTGTGCCCTGTTGCAAGCCTGATCTTAGGTCGTCGTCCTTGTCAGAGTCCTCAATGCAGTTCTGATGCTCGATCGCATGCACTTCCCTTTGCATTTCGACTCGCCGGGCTCTCTACGGAATTGGGGAATGTTCAGTCACAAGCAGCTGCACTTGATCAGTCTTGTCATGCTCAGGTTTGCACGACTGGGGATTTATAAAGTTTGTCCTGCATGCTGAATCTGAGGGAAAGACTTCATGAAAAGCGCCTCAGATCCAACTGCCACGCCGCCGTCGGCATCGCAAGCAGCAGAAGATCCGATGCAAGCCTTGCGAGAAGCGTCGCCGCCTACGTTGCAACCTGTGGTACAAAGCTTGCCGCAGCCGGCTGCACAACAGTCAGCGTCGCAAACAAAAAAGCCGCAGCTCGAAGCATTACTTCTGACCTCCTCTAAGACCCGAAGGATCTTGGATGGCAGTGTGGCTGTGTGCAGAACACAGCAGAGCTGCAAAGTAATTTAAAGCTTGCAGCAAGTTTGTTTCACTGGGCCAGGTCCGTTCCATAATCATCATTTTGCAACGCAGATCCCGACAACTGTCGAAGCGTGCCAGACGATACTCCGTAGGGCCGTAGGGTTAACATGACTATACAGTCTATACATGACTACTTTGTAGGGCAGACAAGGATAAGTTGGAGTTTTTCCTGGCCATGGGCAGGCGTCGTCGAGAGGCGTGTTCATGCTTCAAACAGTGATAGGTTTTTGCCACTGGCTACAGCCTAGCTTTCTCTGTCACGTGTCTTGCTGTAAGCGCAGTAGTCTTGCCACCTCCTGCTCCAATCGAGGCATTACGATCTGATGATAATCATTCCTGCAAGTGGCAGCCGTGACCGCAATCGCATGGAAGCAGCACCATGGCTCGATAAGATCTCAAACCAGAACTTGTGTTGGCAGCTTGTTGAAAATTTTCAAAAACTCAGAAGAGTTAGTCCTATTCTGCATGTCAACATTCAATCCGACTCTGCAGGTCAGACAAACATGGGTCCGGGAAATCGACAACACAACTGGTTTGTGCAGCAGGCGGGCTGGAGAACCGGGGCATACTACTTGTACTTCTACAACTACTACTACTACTACTCCTCCTACTACTCCTTCTGCCTTTGCTACTGCTACTACCACCTTCTCACCGCCACCACTTCCTCCGCAGCCATAACTGCAACAACTACTACTACTACTGCTGCTACTACTGCTACTGCTACTGCAACTGGGGGTGTGTGCAGCGATGCTGATGCAGCCTCCCACGACTGCCACAAGAACCCCAAACAGGTAGTTTGCGCAGATCTCGTTTTTTCGGTTTGAGAGCCTGTCCCGCTGTAAAGATGCTCCAGAAGTCTCTTCTGGATGACAACCTCCAGGTTGCCCAACAAGGCGTTGTGGACCCTGAGGTCTCTGACAGGGTTCAAAGAGTTAATCTTCCAATGCAGCGTCACAGTTCGATTCGGAGCAGAGAACCTCGTGGGAATGTTATATATCAAATAATGTGAGTATATCTATTTTTGTGGCCTGAGAAGCAAGAATATTGTCCTCACAGGTGCAAGAGCAAGCGCACGATCAAGTACTTTTTTATCTTGGGTGACGAGGCGACTGAGGAGGAGAAGGCTCACCCCGAGTTTGGCCGGTCTCTCTTCTATCGGATCGGACAGGGATTAGCTTTCTAGTTGGTTCTGGCTTCTAACTTCCAGCAGATGTGTTGGAAAATCGGGGTGTGTGTGTGTGTGTGTGTGTGTGTGGGCATGGGCATGTGGTCAGTTCCGGTTTGGGCTTGAGCGAAGTGGCTCACTCGTGGCAGGAGAATCGCCATTTGCGAGATGATGAGTCTTGTCAACATCTTGGCAGGCCTTCCATCTTCAAGCCGTTTCAATCGACACAAAGACTACAAACTGGAACAGCTACTGTTTCATGAACACTTGCCACCCTGCTGCTACCGGTGATGCATTTCCAAGGAGATGCTGGACATGAACGGAAGTGCGGCTAATAGCACTGGGAACCGTACCAAGGACTGACATGCTTGTTCTCGCATCCAGGTGGCGAAGAAGTTGCGTAGCGTGAGGCTTCAATGACTGCGTATCGTCGCTGTCTTCAGGACAAGTCCGACATCATCGCCCTGTCGAGGCCTTGGACCCGAGAAAAAGTGAACCCATTCGCTGCTGCTACTCGTAGCAACTTAAAGCGAGCAAGGCGAGAGTAGGCAGGTACATGTGGAACGAACCAGCTGCAAGCTCAAGGCAACAGCCACCTTTCCCACAAGCCAGACAGCTCACCGAGGAGGTTAAAAGTTCAGAGTTAAGCATGCCCCCGCACGGTCTCACGACATAGCACCGCGAGGGAGAGGCTTCACTTTCCAGTACTTGTAGGATGAGGGACATGCAAACACAATGCAGAACCAGAGAATCGAAAGCGAGGCCGAAGCATATCAAGGGTCACAGGTCATTAGCTTGCGAGTGAAACCAAAAAAGCACAAGCCTACAGATCTCTAGGCACATGCTGAAACCTGGCAGGTGCAGCAGTGATTACATACGTCTTGCAGAGAAAGTGCGGAAAGCGATCCGCTTTGCGGCTCGGCATGCAGCAAGCCTTCCACTCGGAAGTGCCGCCTGGAATCTAGTAATCGCTTGGACACACACACACACACACACACCCCTGAGAGCCTTTCCTAAAGTTACGGAGCTGGAAAGCCCTGTTAGTTTTCACCAGATAGGCTGACACAACGCAGACTCAGCCCGAAGTTTTCAGATGTCGGCATGGCATGTCTCAGCCTTGTCACTGGGCTGCAGCAGGTCACGACACACTTCAGCTTTCGTCTGCTGTTGAAGACTGCTCCTTGGCAAAAGCGATCAACTGACAAGAGGCAGGTCGGATGCACGAAACCCATGACGCACGGGGGTGAGCCTTCATTGCAAGCGCGTCGGATGGCAAAGTGATTGCCCAACATACTACAGAGCTTCTCATCGGACTTGGTTCTATGGTGAGAGAATGCGGGTGCGCTACACTCCCTTTTCAGGCAAGTTCGCACTTTCAACCAAGCACGGTTGGATTCAGCATTGCAGATGTCCGGGCAGGAAGATTGACAGTCAGCCACTCCCCATCCAAGGACACAGACTCTTGGATCTTTCTCGATACGCTCTTGGCATACGCAGAAGCAAACGAGCTCTTCAGCAGGACTTGCGCCCTCCAACAGTGTCCCATTGGTCGTGCGACGAACCTGTTCCCTTCGTGTATTGTGCAGGCGCTCGGTTCATGCTGGCGACGTTCGCAGAGGTGCCAAGCCGCAAAAGCCCAAGTCTGGTGGCAAGAACATCGATGAGGCACGAATTCATTGGTTCAATGTGTTGGTTGGACAGGCTGAAAGCAGCTCCTGTGCTTCATGCATCGATCACCGAAAGCAGAAGTTGGTCAGGTGTTCAACACCAAGACGGGTCAGGACACCTACCCTGTTTTTGCTGCAGGGTGCGGCTACCTGCTCACGAGAAACCTTTGCCACTTGTACGCAAGATCACGTGGCCATGTGCCTCGTATCACTGGCAACTGCTGGCACTGGGCGCTTGACGTGAAGAAGTGGACCAGGTAACTTCATCGCCCTTCTTGCAATGGAGGAACCCGAGATGACTTGATCGCGTTGAGAAGCAGCACGTAGTGCCACAGCCCAGCAGTGGAAACACCTCTCAGACTTCAGTTGCGCAGGATCCCAACTTACCCAGCCTGACAGAGCTGCCGCAGGAGGACGTGGCAGCATCTTGGACTAGAATTGCCGTGAGAATGTCAAGCTTCTCCTTCAGGTTTCAATGCCTTCTACACACACTGCAGCTACACTGCATCATAGGAGTTTGGAGATACTTTCGGAACCGCCACCATCGCCACGGAAACAGAAGCTCAATGAAATCTTGGGTGGGACATCAGATCATCATGGGCAATCCAGGCTGATATGCTTCCTCGGGGAAGCCATTCCGTTAATCTGTTTGAACTCATGAGACCCTCAGATCCCGGACGAGACTGCAGTGTTACTGCGTTAACCCACCAAAGCAGGCAATCTTAACACATCGTTGCTTGTCATGAGTTGTCTTTCTTTGGCAAGAACGGCATTGTCGGCACTGTTTCTCTTTCTACGCGTTGTGTAAGTCTAACTCATTTGGGGTTTCTTGCTGGTGTCGGGTCGTGGCCTTCTGCCTCTACCGTCCTCACAAGCAGGCATCCCAAGCTCCGTCTCCCGTGAAAGTGGATGTGAGGGTTTTAAATCGTCATCCAGGGAACCTGACAGACTCTGCACTTGTTCTGAGGTTGGATTCTGGCTACAGGCACAGGGAAAGCCCTGCACTCTTTACTTTCGGTTGCATGTGAAGCGAGCACGAAATCCCAGACTGTTTGCACAGGCTCTTCAACACGAGAAGCTGAAGGCGCCGATCTCACCCATAGCTGAAGGCTGCCGAAGCCTGGTTGGAGATTAAGTGCTCGAGACAGAGTGTGCGCGTGCTTGGTTACCCACAGTCTCCAGAGTCGCGAGCTTGACACATGATGTATTGCCACTGCCCAAACCCCGCATGCTAAAAGTTTCCCTTCCAAGGAAAAAGTCCATTCCCAGGAAAGAATTCGGGCAAGCGCACGAAGTTGATCGTTGATCACTACGTCTCAATTGCGACTGGGCTGAAGGTTTCCCACGAGGTGAATGCAGAATACATGTCGTCCTTAAAGCCTTAAAGGTTAGTGTACAAAGACGGAATTGGAAGAGGAAGACTACCAAACAGAGAGCATGCACGATTACCAAGGCGGAGATGCATCGCAGGGCAAGCAATCTGCGTCAATATGGAAACCCTTGCGGACAAGGCCTTCTGGAGGGCAGCATCCAACTATGTGCATGCAGATTTTACGCTCTGATTTGTAGTTGCCTTTCACGATTGGCACTGGTCGGCTGTTCTGGTTTGCAAACGTTAAACTATTCGTAGTTCTTGCTTGTTTTACTTCGACACTGAACTCGTCACAGATTGGATTTAAAAGGTCTACATTGCTTTTGGGCCGGCCGCCTACCCGAAATCCTCCGCGAATAAAACGATCAAGCCTTGAGCTTCTGAAAACAATGCCCAACCAGAAGTAGGCTTAGGGTCAAGATTTTAGGGCACTCGTCTCACGGCGACGGCCGTTCCGGGCGAGAGAAGCCTGCCAATAGCACATTTCCTGACCCGAAAAGGGCTGATGAGTACAAAGCAAGTCCAAAGCAAATGAAGAGATGGCCAACCCAACAGGGAACACTGAAATAAGTGGACCTCACCTGCGAACCAAAATGGGGGATGATGAGCCGCAAGCCCGAAAAGCTCCGAAAACCCCCGAAACATAAACTGGAGTCGGCCACCGCAAATCCTTTGCACAAAGATGGTTCCTTGTGCGGTATGAGCGTCGAAAAGGAGCCGTTTGACGAGATTGCGAACGTCAGAAACCCAAAACTAGGAAGCCTTGAAAAGAAAGATTTTAGCATCCTACACCTCGACGGGCATCTTGCGCCTTTGGGAGAAACAATGCTTTGTTCCTTTCAGGTCCAAAACTTCAAGACTTGGAAGCCCACAGCACCGCGGTGAGACGGTGAGGGCCATATTGTTCGTATGGCCGAGGTGACTGATGACACCCAAAGACTTCATCGGTTCGGATCTCGGGAGGGCGTCGCCCGGGCCGTGTTTCGTGAAGCTTCTCAAACTGGAACTCGATGTGCGATTTCAGCTGAAAGGTCGTCACCTTGTATGGCGAGAGAGAGAGAGAGAGAGTGCAAGCAAGAGAGAGAGAGAGAGAGAGAGAGACCTGGCCCTAGCAAAGCAAAGACCTGGTGCGTCTCCAAGGTGGCATCAGATTCCGACTGGCGGCTGTCGCATTCATCAAATCGTCGCCTGTGCCCTGGCAGCCTGATACTCAATCGACATGGTGTTCTCAATGCGGTGCCATGCCTGATGTTTGAAGCACACCTCGGATTGTCATCGAAGGCAATGGTTGGGATTGATGTTCAGGTTTTCTGTAGCTGCACCAGCAAGGCTCCAAAAGTATACAGTCCGAAGCAGCGCGACGACGGCATGCTCTCTGCTACACAATCGGATGGACAAGATTCTGCGATATCTCGTTCGCGTGGGCGTGACAAATCATGGAAGCCATGAGCGACATGATAATTTCTCTCATTATACTCGCAATCGCCCAAAATATTCGTGTTTATATTTATAGAGAGAGAGAGAGAGATCCAATTATCTCGGCTTCTCTAGTTGTATGAAAATAGATATACAGCAGAAAAAAATATTATGATGATACAAGTATAATTTATTTTCATTGATCATATTTCATTCGAATCCTCACATATTCGATAGGAACTTTTCTCTGAAGCTACGTATTCAGGGGGGTTGTACTTTTCTTTGTCTTCCTCCGCTAGCCCTTCTCTTTCTCCCATTCTCCGAAAAGATGTGTCTGTACATTTCTATTATGATAGGAGTAGAAGTAGCAGTGGTATTAGTTTTAATAGGAGTACTAGGACTTCATGGGGTCGTTGGCGGAAGGTGAATATGCGGAGAGTACGTCAAA